ATGCCACTCACTGGTGATTCTGCTACAGACTCCTTCTCTCCTAAATGAGACCCCTAGATTACAGGGTTCCAAGATCCATACTGCAAGATATTTCAACTGCTGAAGAGTATTCAATCCATTCACGCTAATCAAATGTCAAGCACATGAACAAAGAAGTTCTAGAATTTTTAAAAAGTAAAGAACTCTACCCCACACATTACATTCAGATGGGCAAATGTCAAATACATCTAAGACATTTGGTTTTCCCTTCCATCTTTAAACACCTCCAAAGAAATTATATCCTACCTCTCTACAGAACTAACAGGCCATACTAACAGATTATCATCTGATCAAAAAGGGATATTGGCTGGGTGCTTTGTGACCGCCTGGAGGGGTGGGATAGGGAGGGTGGGAGGGAGGGAGACTCAAGAGGGAAGAGATATGGGAACATATGTATATGTATAACTGATTCACTTTGCTATAAAGCAGAAACTAACACACCATTGTAAAGCAATTATACACCAATAAAGATGTTTAAAAAAAAAGACACTGAAAAAAAAAAGTTCTTATAAATGACCAATCAAAATTACTTCTGCTAAATGTTTCATCATGTTACTGAGTAGGAGAAAAGTTCTGTTATAAAATACAACATCCAATACTATCCCAATTTTTAAATATATATTCACACTTTTATACACATAATGTACATCTAGACATTTTTAAAGGATGGAAGATATTCTAAACGATTAATGCTGATTAGTTTCCTCTAGATGGTGGGATATGGGTGATGTTTTTATTTCTGTTATTTCTATATATTGTATAAGGTCAGAATAGATTCGTAAAAATGTGACTCATAAAAATGTGATTACAAAGTAACTTTTAAATGCTCTCTTGCTTTGATTCAAGTCCAATACAGGCATACCCCAGAGATGTTACATTCCAGACGAAAGCAAATAAAGTAAATCATACAAATTATTTAGTTTCCCGGTGCATATAAAAGTTATATTTACACTATACTGTGTAATGGCATTATGTCTAAAGAACAATGTACACATCTTAATTTTTAAAATGCTTTAAAAATTTTCTTAAAAAAATGCTAACCATCATCTGGGCCTTCAGTGAGTCATAATCTTTTTGCAATAACATCAAAGATCACTAATCACAGGGACTTCCCTAGTGGCACAGTGGTTAAGAATCCACCTGCCAATGCAGGGGACATGGGTTCGAGCCCTGGTCCGGCAAGATCCCACATGCCTCAGAGCAACTAAGCCCGTGCGCCACAACTACTGAGCCTGCGCTCTAGAGCCCGCGGGCCACAACTACTGAAGCCCGCGCGCCTAGAGCCCGTGCTCTGCAACAAGAGAAGCCACCGCAATGAGAAGCCCACGCACCGCAACGAAGAGTAGCCCCCGCTCACCACAACTACAGAAAGCCCGCGTGCAGCAACAAAGAACCAACACAGCCATAAATAAGTAAGTAAATAAATAAATAAATTTATTTTAAAAAAGAAAAAAGATCACTAATCACAGATCACCATAATAAGTACAATAATGAAAATGCTTGAAATATTGCAAGAATTACCCAAATGTTATTAACACAGAAGCACGAAGTGAGCAAATTATGCTGGAAAATGGCGATGTTGCCACAAACCTTCAATTTGCAAAGAACGCAATATCTGCACAGTGCAATAAAGGTATGCTTATATTCTTTATTACACATGCAAAATAATCACATCCTCTATACATAAATCTTTAACATACTAGAAATACTTCTTGAGAGCAGAGACTTTTTGTCTTATTCATTTTATTTGCTCAGATGACCGCAAAAAGAAGTGTGACTTAATCATGTAAATTATATGAATAGAGATATAAGCTCGTATTTATAAAAAACTTTCTTATGGCCCAGAGTTGTCCAGAAAGCGAACGGTTCACCTCTAAAGTGTCTAAGCACAAGGACAACCACTCCTTCATATGGTTATTTCACAGGACTAGATTTGATTAAATGAGATGACTTTTAAGTTCTCTTCCAATCATTAATAGGGTGGCCAGTAAGTCTCATGGCCCACGCCAACTCCTTTTAACCAGTAGTGGCCACCTAGGGAGCAGTGGTAACATGGACTGTGAGGCCATGCTCACATTCAATAGGCCAAAGTGATACATGCTTAACCGGTCAAGTCAGTGATAAGTAAGGGAGGGGAGAACTGTGAATGCTAATCTGTGTATTTGCCAACCATGAATATCTGTGTTTTGATAAACACAGAATCCCAGATTACTTCTGTTCTGAGACAAAATGGTACCAAGAGTACATTTTTGTAACTCTTAATGATTCTTCTAATCTTAAATCTTCAAACCACTCTTCAGTTACTTGGTGAAAGATTTAGACTAAAATAACTTCTTTTCTTCCTCTTTTCTTTGGGACAAGTAAAAGCACATATTTGTTTATTCCACAGATGAAGTAATAAGCACTCACCTCTACAAGCTGTGATTTGTCATAATCTTTACGGTGACGGTAGATGCACTGACTAAGAAGAGAATATAATCTCTCAAGTTGATCAACTGCCAGATTGTTGCTTTTATCTACCAACAAATCAAGCAATTTCTAAGAAAAATTAAAAGAAAAAAGAATAAAATGAAATTTGATTTCATTGTTCAAACTGAAACGGTTCCACTCAAATGCTAGGCAACAGACACCACATGCTATGGTGTAATAGTGACACCTGAGTTTAGAAGATTCCAAGGCTTAATTTATTACCAAGAACATTCTCATATTTCTAAACCCCTCAAAAACACACACAACTCTTTTTCATTAGAAGCCCTGAAGTACCTATATTCCTAGGTTAAAGCAAAAGATTATCAAAACTAGCTTTATTTCCATTCATTTAAAACTGCCTGGGAAGAGCTAAGCTTACCTTCAATCTCTCATGATCAACTATAAGAGGTGGCACAGGCTCAGATGGCTCTTCTGGAACCAGTTCCAGGCTTGTTGTTTTTGCCTGCTCTAAAATTAACTTACGATATTTCTTTACTTTAGAAGCACCTACAATTGGAAAAATCAGACAAACAATTATACATTCTTTTACCCACCACAAATCCTTTTGGAATAAGGGTGTAATTCTTTAAATAATAAATGATTTTTTTTGAGGGGGGTAAGACTAAGCAACCCAGATTAAAGAGAACTAGACCACAACTATGAAAGCCAAGTCATACCAGAATATCATCTTAACAAACATATCCCCTAAAAGGAAGATAAGAGTAATCTTCAGCTCTAAGCAGTAATTTATAAACTGTCTTCATTCTCTGTATGATAATCATTTTAAAATTCGGAGCTCTCAGAACTAGAAGAAAGGAAGCACCCTAGAAAAGCAGATACTAACACAAAATGAGGCCAACCTGCCTCATATTTGCCTCCCAATGCAAAACATTTGCTTCAACATTGCCTGAAACGTCTTACTTTTCTCTGTTATACTGCCTGTGTGACACAAAATTTTCTCTTAAAAATGTAAACCCATTAAAAATGCAAAAGGTCTAGTGTCCTTTCCTACTACCTTAGAGTGAATTAGTATAATCTAATTACTTTCCTCCCAACATCTTGCTGAGACCAGCCACACTGAAATAACAGAAACTGTGGGGTCGCTGAGTGTAACTTGACAGCGCCAGGCACCCTGATGGGTAGGGAGGGCAGGTAAACCATCAAGCCTTACGCTCCCTAAGCAGGAGCACTCTTAGAGGAGGCCGAGGCGGGAGGAACACAAGGACAAACTTGGACTGTTTCAGAACTTTATACAGGACCTGGCCCATGCTCAGGGCCACTAAGGAGACCCTTCCTCCTCCCTCCTGCATTAGTTCTCTTAGTCGCAAGTCTTTAAACAATTCCTTTTCCTCAATGCCTGCTATATAGATAAATAATAAATGAACCAAAATGTTGCCTTCAAAAACATATACCCAGAGAAATTTTATACTTCAGAAAGCCTTTAGAGTGAAAGCCTTCATTTACAGTTCAATTAATATATGCTAGGAGTTTTATTAAGACCATACGGATCCTCGTTATTATATCCATGGACTTCTAGAGGCCCAAAAACCTGAATTAGGAACCACTACACGAGGTTACATTGCCCTGACAGTTACAAATGAAAGCTTCAGGTAAAGCGTTTACACAACAAATATCTTTAAAGCTTTTAGATCACCAGCTGAACACAATATTCGTTTAAACCTTTTCTGCAAGCTTACTAAAATCTCACAGTGAACTAGCATTAGAGAACTTCTCCTCCCCATCCGTTCTGCCTCATAACAGGAATCTCTCCCTTTTTCCCACTCTGTCCCATTCATTACTTAACTCTAGCTTCAACACATTTTTTTAAGTTGTCTATATGATAGCCCAGGATAAATAATGCTCTTAAAATTGCTTTCTATTATTAAATATTGGAGAAAAAGAAAAATTCTCAACAGACAGCATTTGAGAACCGTACCTCTCTCTTTATCCATTAAAAGAATTCTAAGACTTTGAATAATACCATCCTACTCTCTAATTCTACTGGAGGGCTCAAAAAACTGGCATTAAAAAACTTTTCTCACATAGCCCAAATCCCAGGCTAACACTATATACTCCACACAATTTAGAGAGCATGATACAATTTCAAGACAACCTGGTATAAGAAGAGTGCTTATTCGGGAAGGAAATTCAGTACACTGAGCAGAGTAGATCTCTAAATCACCCCATCTCACTATGGGCTAAAGAATAATGATAAACAACAAAGTGGGGCCAGAAACCCTCAACTCCCCCCTTCTGCTGCTTCTTAGAAGAATCATACATCCAAAGCAAGTCAGGAGTGGGCAGAGTGCTCTGACTCTGCGAGAATAAAGTAACTTTGACAGTGAGGATTCTGCTGCTTTCTTCCCCGACTGGTCGTATAGATAGAGGCTCCTAGACTAAACATCCCTCAGATTCAACTAACAGTGACTGCCTGGCATGAATATACCTTAGTATATTACCAGGAGAGGCAATTAATATACATAACTTATATAATCCCTGCAGTGACACCACTCTGAAGTTTAATTTAGAAGATAAAAGACACAGGGTTGGAGAATATAAGCAACTAGCTCAGAGTCACATGATTATAATGAACAGGAGTGGTAATTTAATGTGGGTTTATATAACTTTACTATACCATACTGCTACAGTATCCAAGTCTTCTCACCCACGCCCACCCCACCCCAATAATCCTTCTGTTAGAAATCCATCTTCTTGACACTTGTGGATCTACTCAGCTTTTAGTCATAAATCCATTAGGACAGGGATGATACTCAGGTGGGAGGCAGAAGAGGAAGCAGCCAGGTAAGCAATGCATTCTGGACCACAAACCCCCTGAAACATTCACCAAAATTTATTATGTATGTGTACACTTTTCTAGGCAAAGGGGTGAAAACTGCAACAGATTCTCAAAGAGGTATAATTATTAATCAACTATTGCTACTAGGGACCAGATAAAATATGCACTTAATTAACTCTGGAGTTAAAACCTTCAGGAAAAATTTTAAAACATTAGCTCTACCTTCTTTATCCAGTTCTGCATCTTTAACCTCCACATCAGGGCCAGCTTCGAACTTCTCATTATTGCTACATTCCACTGCCTCTAGTTTCTCAGCATCATCTCTGTGATTTTCATTTGAAGCTTCTGGCTTTTCTTTTGACTGGCCCTCCAAAAGATTCTTTTGTTCAGAACTACATTTGTCTCCACTACCACAGAAAGAAGCTCCTTCAGCCTTGCCATTCTGACACTCCACAAGTGGTATTCCTTCAAAACTGTCAGTGGAGGCCTCACCGTTTAGACAGCTTCCTTTAAGGAAAGGCTCTTTCCTAGATGTCTGTTCTGGATTTAGAGAACTGCTGCTGTTGATGAGTAGAGACTCATTTGAACTTTCCTCTTCAGTAGATGCAAAGTTCTCTTTTGTGCCCGCTCCGTTGTTAAGCCTCTGCCCCTGGTCCATGTCCATGATGTCACACGATGATTCATCATTGGTCATAGATAAGTCTCCAGTCTCTTCTCCATTTTCTTCATGGCAGTCAGTGCTTACCTCAAACTCTCCATTTTCTAGCAATTTCCTGTCCTCCATATGATTCTCATAGTCAGCAAATTTGGTGTCCTCTTCATCTTTTTTTAAATTATTGACTTTCCTTTTCTTAATAATTCCTTTACCCCACTGTGATCGCCGCCTTGATTTTCTCCGAACTCGAACTATTTTACAAAGAAGGGAAAAAGATATGTAGAACTTGGAATGCAATGCTTGTGTTACAAACGTTTATTAAATAAGAACCAAACGAAAGTAAACCCATACTAGCGTAACACACAGACAAAAACTACTTAGCTCTTGACATCCATGCTGACTAATCCTCACAAACTACAAGTAAAATGGATATGAAGCCAGGGATGAACTCTGAAGAATGAAAGAAATTTAAATTTATTTCCTGTATGAGTTTACTCAGCACTCACTTTTTACCACTGCCCTGGATTCTACTTTATAGCTAGCTGTGCCTAATTCCTAACATGCAGGGGCCAAGCGTACTATACACACATTTAGGGAATGACCACATTACCAAGCTGCCTGGAAGGTTTGGGGCTATAGCCCTGGACTTCCTCCAGGAAGATGAGTGCTTTGTCAGCAAGATCACCCAAAAGCTTCTAAACCATGAAAGGAAATTAAAGTATGATCCAGTATATGAAGATAGAATAGTTACAGGTATCCCTACAAAGCAATCTCTACTGCCTCTCCTTCCAGAAGAAACAGAAGCCCTATGAAGGTTATATAGACAATGTGGTTAGCCAGCTGTTAGCCATGTACCACAAATGGTTCACCTATCAGGATCAATTTCTTGCAAAGTTGTTATTTGAAAATATGTAGAAAAATTAAGCCCTCTGCTATCAAGGCAGCAACAACATTAACAAACACTGAAAATAAATATTTGGTCAGTTATGTCAAACAGGAGACCTACAAAAGTTGTAGGGACTATACTCCTAGATGTTAGAAACTATCATGAGCTTTTATGAGTAGATAGCTGGTACTTCCAGGTAATGATGGACCCAGGAATCTTTAATTTCCCATGTATGTATCAAAGGTAGCTGGTTATACAAGTCGATCCCATTGTCCCTTAAATAAAAAGTTAACTTTTATTTTGCAATGTGGGACATTTTCACAAAGAAATTTAAATACAAAGTTATTAAAGCAAACTAGTTAAGCTAGAGACCTATCACGTCTGGTGTCAAACACCAAATTCTAAATATTAGTTTGTTGAAAGCCATCAGAGTAAAAATAATTCATATTTTTCCAAGGCTATAAATGTAATGTCAAATCTGGCTTAATTTTAAAAGAGATAATATATATTTTTAATATGTCAATGTTGAAAGCTTCCTGGGCAAAGACATTTTAAAAAGAAAATACAAATATGAGACCACTAAGTGTAGATTGTTTAATCCACAGTTTAAAAACTGCTTTTGAAAGACAAAGAGAGGGGAACATGGTCTTAAGACAACCCTCACTTCTTTACTCTAGCACTTAATACGAACTTGTGATCTATCAACAGTATATAGTGCGTTTACATACTTTTCCCATCCTTTCATCTTTAATCCTTACTGAGTCTCTGTAAAGACACCAAGGTATTCACAAGTGTTGACAAATTTTGTCATAACTATCACTCTTCTTTCTCATCTAAGAATAAATCTACTAAAGGTTTCTAAAATCATCTGCAAAATTCAAGTTATTTAGTCACTTGGCTCAAAATTTATTTTGCCTTCAAAACTGTACTATCATTACCATCATCTCTCCATTCCTTTATCCCCTATTAATTTCTATTTTTACAATTTACAGTAATAGGGTAATTGGAGATGAAATTTCTATATTAGTCTACTTTTAAAAGCACAGGCTATAAGTGATAGGCATTCATAAGCATTCCATTACTTATATGAAAAACTAATCCAGTCCACATTTAAAGTGTAAGAAAAGTATTCAGCTTGCTCTTTCTCTAAAATGTAGAACTGTTAGGTTTTACTACCTGACAAGTCACTCCTGACATTGTGTCCTTGCTTATTCTCCAATAACCAAAGGTACAAGAGGTTCCCTTTTTCTTTCCTCACTAAGCCATGGAGCATTAGAGCAAGAGGCTGGACCCTGCTTGATCAGGAGCCAGCTCAACTCCTTAAAATGTACTCATACCCTAAGCAAAGGTTAGGAGCTCTTCTGAAGTAAGTTTATTTCTAATGCTTTCATCCCAGCTAAGAAAAAGAAAATGTTCTTATTTGGGGAGAGGTCAAACTAGAGATATTTTCCCTGTCCTTTTATAATCACTTCTAATGCTTAGTATGATTTTGGTAAAATAAGAGGAATTGGTTATATACGTGCCACAAGAATAGGGATTTTTGTTTTAGTCACTGCTCTATCCCCACAGCACCTGGCATGTGGTAGTATATATTTACAGAACTAATCTTTAATATACCCACTTCCTTTTTCAAGGGTGCTTTGTGTGAAAAGCCCATTTAGAGGCACAATCTTTAAAATCAAGTTTTATAACATCTCTGAGTTTGTTTCCAAAACTAAGACCTTAGAAAGGCAACTCTTCCAAAGGGAGATTTAGACATATGATTTAGGTAACTTAATGTAAAACAGACAAATGATGAGTCACATATGCCATCTACTGGTAAGAGAAAACAGGACTCACATTTGTAGATTACAATAATATTTTAATACTTAAAGGAAATTAAAACTGCTTGAAGCCAATATTCAATGTGTTTTAGTTAGTAAATATTTTTACCAGTTGCAGAGAATGTAGGGATTTCAAGGTTTAAATTAGAGTGCTGTGTCACAGAATCCAGGTCACGATCCAAGGTACAACTAGGATAAATAGCTTAATCAGTTTCATGGAACTAAATGCACCATTAAGTCCTTCAAATGTTCTCACACATGAATGCCACTTATCACAAAGAGAACAAGATAAAAAAAAACTGAGTCTGGTTCATTCATTCAAATTCAATGCCACTGGTGAAAGAACTTATTATGGCCATCTTTACTGACAGTTGGAGCAGAATTACCACCTTTATATCAGAAGAACAGCATATATCTTCCAAAGATGGCTACCTTTAGTGAAACATAAAGATTACATTAGGAAGATGCTGTGTTTATTAACATTTGTCTTTTAGAAATTTTACAGATCACCATGAATGAGGAAAAGTGAGGAGAACCCAGAACACTGAATTTTCCCCCTCTAAATACATCTGACTTAAAGCCAGTTAAAGAAGCTACACAGATTTTTCTCAGAAAAATCAACTTCCTGCTGTCAATTCAGTCACTCTCCTAAGCCGGAGTTTCCATTTCCCACCATAACAAGAACATTCCGCATAACATACAGCAAGGGGTTGGAGGCGGGGTGGATAAAAAAAATCTATTGGTGGGCTTCCCTGGTGGCACAGTGGTTGAGAGTCCACCTGCCGATGCAGGGGACACGCGTTCGTGCCCCGGTCTGGGAAGATCCCACATGCCACGGAGCGGCTGGGCCCGTGAGCCACGGCCGCTGAGCCTGTGCGTCCGGAGCCTGTGCTCCACAACAGGAGAGGCCACAACGGTGAGAGGCCGGCGTACCGCAAAAAAAAAAAAAAAAAAAAAAATCTACTGGCTCCACATCTCTATCTAAAAACCAAAGTTTAAAACTGAAGACATTCAAATCTAATTTCAATTACAACAGCAAGCATTGAATGGAGATAGGAGAAAAGCAAATAAGGTTAAAGAAACGTATTCTGATTCAGCATTTTACCCCACAAGCTCTTAGCGGCCCTTTGGTATATGTGCCCAATTCCTAACACATCTGCCTCATTTGCAGTTGTTCCCACTACTGGATAACATGATCTCAAATACTCACATGCACATTTATTTGCAGAGCTGTGCCAGATATCCATTGGATTTCTTTGTTTGTGCCGAAATGCCTCTTCAACTCTAGTTTCTGTCTTTCGAGCTCCAGTACCATGAGGATTTATTTGTTCTGCTGTTGCCGATAAGCCTGCAAGCAGAAGATAAGCGATACCTATTTAAATATTTCCAGCTACATAAACCAACAAGGTTAAAAAAAAGTCTGAAATACAAAACTGAATTTTAAAGTCATTAATTATACTTGGACAGTTTGTAATTCGGATGATATAGTATCTTTTGATTTAAGATGGGAAAGAAACTAGATATAAAATCATAAAAATAAAATGGCAGGCCATGCTTATTTACACTTAATCCCCAAGGGCCCTGTGTTTATTCATTTTACTTTGCAGAGGGATACATTTCACATTTTTATGACTGTGAGACAGTAAGATTATATATAGTCTAAAAGTCATGATTTCTGCCATCTTAGAAAGCGTAAGCATATATTGGGCCACTGAACCCCATTCATATGAACTGTTTCCATCTGACATTAGCTGGCTCTCACACCACACTGCATAAGTTTGGTTTTCGTGCACTGATCTTCATAAAAATAACCATTCCATCTCAATTCTCTTTACTAGATTTCTTTCTTCAATGCCATCCTTAAATGTTGCCTTCCTTAAACGTTTCTAAGGACTGTCTCTGGAATCCCTTTTCTTCTCACTTTAATCTACACCTTCCACCACAAATACTCATGCCTTCAGCTCCTACTGGCATTATATAACTATTCCCAAATTACATCTTTAGTCCAAAACTCTCCTGAGCTTCTGATTCATATCAGTTGCCTACTTGGTATCACCAACTGGATATCCTAGAGATAGGTCAAATTAAAGATAACTGGTTTCTCTTTTCCCACCAAAAAAACCCTGTCCTTATATACTCCCTCTCTCTACTGGTGGTATTAGCATCTACTTAAGTCATTAAACCAGTAACATGGCAGCCAATTTTGCCTCTTCCTTTCCTTCACAATGCCCTCCACCCCTGCAGCTGCATCTCTCTCATGTTAATCCTACCTTTATGCCCACTTCACTAATTAAAACTCTGGACTACTCCAACAGCCCTCCCCCCACCAAAAGCTTTATTGAGGTACAATTTACACAACATAAAAATCACTCATTTTAAGCGTACGATTCAGTGATTTTTTAGTGAATTTACAGAGCTGTGCAATCACCACAGCAATCCAATTTAGGTAACTGTTCCAGGCAACCACTAGTCCACTTTTTGTCTCTATAGACTTGCCTTTTGTGAGCATTTCATATAAATAGAATCATGCAATATGTGCTCTTTTGTGACTGCCTTCTTTCACTTAGCATAACATTTATAAAATTTATCCATGCTGTACCATGTATCAGTACCTTATTCCTTTTTATAGCTGAGCAGTACGTCACTGTACAATATACCCTGTTTTTTTTTTTTGCGGTACACGGGCCCCTCACTGTTGTGGCCTCTCCTGTTGCGGAGCACAGGCTCCGGATGTGCAGGCTCAGCGGCCATGGCTCATGGGCCCAGCTGCTCCGCGGAATGTGGGATCTTCCCGGACCGGGACACGAACCCACGTCCCCTGCATCAGCAGGTGGACTCTCAACCACTGCGCCACCAGGGAAGCCCTTATACCCTGTTTTGTTTACCCATTCATCAGTTGACGGACATTTGGGTTGTTTCCGGTTTTTAATTGTTGTGAATAATACTGCTATGAACATTCACGTACAAGTCTTTATATGGACATATGTTTTCATCTCTCTTGGGTAGATCCCTAGTAGTAGAATCGCTGGGTCATATGTAAATATTATGCTTAACTTTTTAGAAACTGCCAAAATGTTTTCAAAACTGGCTCCAACAGCTTTTTAACTGGTCTCTCATCCTCCTACTGAGCCACATTGAGACCTTGCTATTTCCTGCTGTCAAAGCAATTTACCAATCCATTCCACTGTTTCAAATACTTCTATGAATCCTACTGACTATGGCAACTGTTCTCAAACTTTAGTGTACATAAAAACCACTTGAGTTTGCTGAAGTGCAGATTTCTCGACCTTCAGATTCTCGGCCAGAGAATCGAATTCGGTAGTTCTAAGCTGATGTGGGTAATAAACACAAACACATTTTAAAAAACATAGATCTACAGGATAAAGTCCAAGCTCCTTAGCATGATATTGATTCATTCAAATATTTATAAAACGCCTGTTGTATACCAGAGATAGTTCTAGGGACTGCAGTAGAGCTATGAATAAGACATTCACAGCACTTATACTCTAAATAAGGAGGAGAGAGACAACAACAGTAACAAAATGCCAAGTGCTATGGTGACCAGAGCCTAATAAGATTAGGTGGCCAGGGAAGGCCTCTCTAAGGCAGTAGAAGAAAAGCATCTTCACAACTTCAATGTCCTGGACCCAGCTCACCTTCTGAGCTCTGTTTCCCACCATTCTGTACATCTTTAGCAATACCAGTTTGCAGTTCTTCCGATACACCACGTTATTTCACATCTCAGCGCCTGTACACGTAGTGTGCTGTGCTTACAATACCTCCTCCTCCTCCATCACTGCCTCCCTCTACTTCACTAGAGACAACACTTCTATATTCATTCCCCAAACTCTGATCAAAATGCTGGGTTTCCTACCAGGAGGTCTCTCCTCTGTGCTATGAACATGCTTCAATCAGTGCATATGCCACACTATACTCGATTTGTTTTACACTTACTCTCTCCTACTAAAGTGTGAGTTCCTCAAGGACAGGATTATATATAGAACGAACAAAACACATATGCTAATTCTGTGTTTATACGAACAAAATTGCACATAAATTCCAATAGGTTTAAAAAAAAGTATTCCTAAAAACCATTTTTAAGTATCGGTATTAGATATAAACTGATGAAAATAAACCCTCTTCAAATACAAAAGCCTATCTAAATCCTTTAAGAACAGAAATCCATAATTAAAGATATATGCCTGCAAAAGAAATTTCACTAAGAAGTACTTTATTTCTGTAATTTGCACTAAAACTGTTATAGAAAGTAAAATTTTAAAACATCTTTGAGAATTTACATGACACATTTTCATATCAGAAATTAAGGATGGGCCTCAAAATACATTTTCATAATACCAGCAACCGTAAAGAAACACCATTTAATGACCTCTTACTCTTCAGGAGCAGTTTCATTTCTATAACTTACCTCTTTTTATTCTTGCTTCCTTAATTTCTTCACAGAGTTTATTAAATTCTGGATCCAATTCAGCTGCAATGATGGCATGCGCAGTGTCCTTCAGGGTACAAGCCCTGTGCCTAATTATTTTATCTGTAAAAAAGTTGGTATACATTTATTATACATACAAGTGAAATAACATGAACAAAGGGCATCTTAAAAAGAAAAGGAACACAAACATTTAAATAAAACTGTGACTGCAATGAGAAGCCTGGGCACCTCAACGAAGAGCAGCACCCTGCTCGCCACAACTAGAAAAAGCCCAAGCACAGCAACAGACTCAACACAGCCAACAAAAATTTTTTTAAAAAGGCTTTATCAAAATAATTTAAAATAATTTTAAAAACTGAAATTAATTAATTTAATTAATTTAAAAAACTGAAAAGCATTTCTAGCTAAGAAGCAAGCTCATTTAAATGATGAGCCAAAAATAAATATAATAAGCTACTCAATCAAGTTGACAATCCTCTGAGAACTATACTTTTAGAACTTCAAAGTACTAAGCCTACTTAACAAATCATTACCTCAAAGATATGGCTTAATTTTATATTTTTCAAAAATGTATGACATTCAATAAAGATTTTTAAAAGATTTACAGGATATTCACCGTATGTCCAGCACCAGAGCTACCATGGATAGATACTGAGATTTCAGAAAACCTTACATAATTTTCTCCACGAGACAAAACTGGTGAAAACTATGCTAAATTAAGGGTGACTGATTAAAAAATTGTGACAGGAACAGACAAATACAATAAGGCACTCTAAGATAAGAATGCAAGATGACATAAATTGCAGGTAGATCTAGGAGAGAAGTGCATACTCTGTTCTAGGTAAACTATATACCTAAAATTGCTACTAAAAGAAGAGTCTCTACTTTATACTAACAGAGGAGTCCTCATTAACTAACAATATGCATAAACAATGCTCCCTAGAGCTGTGCAACTCCAAGATATTAAAAGTCAAGTTAATATATCAAGGTCACTTAATTTGTAACAGAATTTAGCACTAGCATCTAAGTCACAAAATAACATCTGCTTTTTCACCTCTAGTAAGACAAAAAGTATAAAGATGTATTTTATTTATAACTTTTCTTATTAGAAAGTCTAATAGTTCACTGTAGAAATCTTATAAAAACAAACATGCAGCACTCAAAAAGCAACCCACTGGTATATTTCCTTCCAATGTATATTCTCTAAACTTTCACTCAATAAATATTGTCAACTGTACCAGGAAGTAAGTCAGGTGATGGCTACACAGTAGTGAACAAAATAGACAGGTGTCCACTTTCAAGGAGCTTTTCAGAATAGTATAGGAAAGAGGTATTTTACCAAATAATCTCATATACACATATAAAAACCTCCTCCTACCCCTCCCTCACTCCCCAAAAAACCTGTAACAGCTATGATGAAAATCTACAGGATACTGGTGTGGATACCAATTTTGAATGGGCAAGTCAGGAAAGACTTCTCGGAATCAGTGGCATTTAAGCTGAGACTTAAAGCATGCATTGGGGTAGCCACTGACAAAGGGAAAAACCAGTGCAGGTTCAGAAAATACCATGTGAGAAAGTTCTGGAGTAAAAAGATCTTGGAGATTTTAAGAAACTGAAAGGTAGCCTAAGTGATTAGAACACAATAAGTAAGAGGCAAACGGGAATCTGACCATATTCAAAGGATTTTAGATCTTATCCCAAGAGCAATGAAAAGTCATTGAAAAGATCCAAGCAGAGGAATTACATGATTTAAATGCTCGTCTTTGAAAGAGCTCTCTGGCTGTTCCCTAGAGACTGGATTGAGAGGGTCAGGCATAAAACCAGGGAGTATAACTGGAAGGCAATTTTTAGTGAAAAGATAAGAGAGAACTGAACCAGGTAATGGTGGTGGTAGTGAAGGAAAGGAAGACTACAGCTTTGAAATGTGTTCTCAATGACACAACTTGGTGGTAAAGCAAGGGATGAGATAAGCGTCAAGGAAGATTCCCTAGCTTCCTGCATGAAAAATGGGAGGATGAAAGTACCGCTTACAAAAATAAAAATTAAAAAGAAGGAAAAAAAAATCCTACAGTATAATTAGAAAGGAAGTAGGAAAAGAAGTTAGAGATTTGCGCTAGTTTAAAGAGTTTAGTTTTGACATGACTAAAAAATATCTAAGAGAGCCTGAGCCAAGATCGTAGAGTAGAAGGACGTGCTCTCACTCCCTCTTGTGAGAACACCAGAATCACAACTAGCTGCTAGTCAATCATTGACAGGAAGACACTGGAACTCACCAAAAAAGATACCCCACATCCAAAGACAAGGGAGAAGCCACGATGAGACGATAGGAGGGGTGCAATCACAGTAAAAGAAAATCCCATAACTGCTGGATGGGTGACTCACAGACTGGAGAACACTTATACCACAGAAGTCCACCCACTTGAGTGAAGGTTCTGAGCCCCACGTCAGGTTCCCAAACTGGGGTCCGGCAACGGGAGGAAGAATTCCTAGAGAATCAGACTTTGAAGGCTACTGGGATTTGATTGCAGGACTTTGACAGGACTGGGGGAAACAGAGACTCCACTCATGGAGGGCACACACAAAGTAGTGTGCGCATCGGGACCTAGGGGAAGGAAGAGTGACCCCGGGGGAGACTGAACCAGACCTACCTGCTAGTGGTAGAGGGTCTCCTGCAGAGGCGGGGGGTGGCTGTGGCTCACCGTGGGGAAAAGGACACTGGCAGCAGAAGTTCTGGGAAGTATGCCTTGGCATGAGCCCTCCCAGAGTCCACCATTAGCCCCACCAAAGAGCCCAGGTAGGCTACAGTGTTGGGTCGCCTCAGGCCAAACAACCAACAGGGAGGGAACCCAGCCCCACCCATCAGCAGTCAAATGGATTAAAGTTTTACTGAGCTCTGCCCACCAGAGCAACAGTCAGCTCTACCCACCACCAGTGCCTCCCATCAGGAAACTTGCACAAGCCTCTTAGATAGCCTCATGCACCAGAGGGCAGACAGCAGAAGCAAGAAGAACTACAATCCTGCAGCCTGTGGAACAAAAATCACATTCACAGAAAGACAGACAAGATGAAAAGGCAGAGGG